CTGTGTGAGCGTGGGCCAGTCCTTAACCTCTCTGTGCCTGTCGCCCTATCTGTAGTCCCACCTGTGTTACAAAGGTTCCACCTGTTAACAGCAAGCAGGGCCTAGTCCTATGCCTGGTGCATGCAGTGCACAAAGCCACTGACCCTCTCCTTGTCTTGGCCTCCTCCCACCAGGCCCTCCAGGCCCCAGCCTGTCATGAGAATATGGTGAAGGTTGGTGGCTACATCCTCGGGGAGTTTGGGAACCTAATTGCTGGAGACCCCCGCTCCAGGTAAGGGAGCCTCAGGCTGGGGGGTGAACACCTGAGCTTCTGAGGGGTCCAGAGCTTGGGGAACCTCTAGGATAGTCTCAGGGCTGATAATGATGGGTCGCCAGGAATTCCCTTGGCCTTTCACTCCAAGCACCTGACCCGGTAAGAGAGAACCCAAGTCCCAGGAGTCAGGGACAGGATGATGCAGTGACCGCTGCAGCCCCTTGGGCCAGCCCATGGTCCTGGAGAGGGCTCCCGGGGGAGGCAGCTCCTGAGGGGTTTCTGCAGGGTGGTGGTGCCCAGCTGCTGCTGACCCGGCCCCTTGCTCAGCCCCCCCGTGCAGTTCTCCCTGCTCCACTCCAAGTTCCACCTGTGCAGCGTGGCCACTCGAGCCCTGCTGCTGTCCACCTACATCAAGTTCATCAACCTCTTCCCCGAGACCAAGGCCACCATCCAGGGCGTGCTGAGAGCCGGCTCCCAGCTGCGCAACGCCGACGTGGAGCTGCAGCAGCGCGCCGTGGAGTACCTCACCCTCAGCTCGGTGGCCAGCACGGACGTCCTGGTCAGCATCTGCCCACCTCCACGGGCCCTCCCTCTTCTTAGGACTGAGGGCCCCTGCCTGACCCGCCCATCCCCCCGCAGGCCACAGTGCTGGAGGAGATGCCACCCTTCCCTGAGCGCGAGTCCTCCATCCTGGCCAAGCTGAAGCGCAAGAAGGGGCCAGGGGCCGGTAGCGCTCTGGATGATGGCCGGAGGGACGCCAGCAGCAATGACATCAATGGGGGTGTGGAGCCCACCCCCAGTACCGTGGTGAGCCCCACAGAGCGGCCCACATGCTTGGCTGGGGCTGGGTCCTGCAGTGGCCACCTCGGCTCAGCTTCACCCCCACCTCTTACAGTCCACACCTTCGCCCTCCGCCGACCTCCTGGGGCTGCGGGCAGCCCCTCCCCCAGCGGCACCCCCAGCTCCTGCAGGTGCTGGGAACCTCCTGGTGGACGTCTTCTCTGATGGCCCGACTGCCCAGCCCAGCCTGGGGCCCACCCCTGAGCAGGCCTTCCTCAGGTACTGCTGCCTCGCTCCCTTCTCCCCGCCCAGGGCTGGCCCCTCAGCTTCTGCCCCGTTTCTGCTCAGCCCCTCTCCACACTCCTCTGTGTCCCTGATGCCTTTGCCAGCCCCATGCTACCTCCCTCTGGCCACCCTGTGTTCTCCTTTCCCACCACCATTTCTTAGTCTGCTCTTCCTTTTCTCCTTCCCTCTCCCTTTCTCTTTCTTGACCCTTTTGCTGCCTCTCTGGGATTGGCTGCCTGCCGCACCTGTCTTCTCTGTCTGCTCTGGGATTGGATGGCCCAGCGAGCTGGAGCCGCCTGCCCCTGAGAGCCCCATGGCTTTGCTGGCCGACCCAGCTCCAGCTGCTGAGTAAGGGGTGGACTCCGGGTGGGGGCAGACTCTGGTGGTCCCAGGGTGGGTTGGGGGACTGGACACTCTGGTCAAGAGGTTTCTGATGATCAGCAGAGGCAGGGATTGGAGGAAAGTGAAACTTGAGGCCTCCTGGTGGGGAGCAGGCATTTGCCAGGGTCCCATTTGCATTGGTGGCAGCTGCTGGTCTGATTCTAGAGTTCTCTGAGGTTCTTTGGAGAGGCTGGGCATGTGAATTCTGGGGTTCTGACTTCTCGGGCTTGTGTCTTGTACCCTCTTCCTCCGGCCCCCCAATTTCCTTCATGTCTCACTCCTTTCCCCATCCCCAGCCCAGGTCCTGAGGACATCGGCCCTCCCATCCCCGAAGCTGATGAACTGCTGAATAAGTGAGTCCCAGGAGAGATGGGCAAGGGTGACAGGGACAAGTGGGGAGTCCAGGCCAGGCACCCTGCCATCCTAAACTCCCCACCATCCCGTCCAGGTTTGTGTGCAAGAATAACGGGGTCCTGTTTGAGAACCAGCTACTGCAGATTGGAGTCAAGTCCGAGTTCCGGCAGAACCTGGGTGTGTTCCACTGCCCTACAGGGAAAGCGTTGGTGGGAGAACTTGGCTTGGCTGGTGGTCAGGGATGAGGTCAGAACTCAGATGGAGCCCTGCCTCCCCACCCACCCCAGGCCGCATGTATCTCTTCTATGGCAACAAGACCTCAGTGCAGTTCCAAAACTTCTCGCCCACCGTTGTCCACCCGGGAGACCTCCAGACTCATATCCTCTCAGGCCTGGCCCACTAGGAAACCTAGGCTGGGGGCGCGCGTTTGAAGTGACTGCTTGACTTCAACCTCCGTCCAGACTTGTTTAGCCCTAGTACTGTGAGACCTTGGGCATGTGGTTACATCTCTTGAGATTTGGTGTCATCATCTGTAAGTTGGGCTTCTGGGTCTCTTCCCCCAGGGACAGATGATAATGAATGATGTGCAGGAGACGTGACTCTTGGAACCACAGCTGCCCTCATCCTTATTTTGTCCATATGAGGCCTCCCATGCCCTAATGTGGTCCTGTATCAGGCTTCATGCCTGCACTGACAGTGCCTCCAGCACTTGGGAGCCCCAGCTGGCTCTAAGTGCCCCCGCCCCCAGGGACTTCTCTGTGGAACTTGGGCCGAGTCACTTTGTCTCTCCTAGCCTTCCTAACCCTTCTGCGGGGCATAGGTCCTCCTCTTCCTTCTGGAAGATCAGAGCAGTTGGAAAACTTTGGAAGCGTGTCTGGCAGTGCCAGTCTTGTCCCCCTTCTGTGAAATTAGAGGGGCTAGACCCCTAAACTCAGAGCACCTTTTCAGTTTTGTTCTTCATTCATTAATCTGTGTAGCACATGGGTTAGGGTGGGAGTGCTTGATGGCAGGTGTGAATGACACAGTGACCACACTAATGGCCACCATCTGTGTGGAACAGACAAGTACTTGTGAAAAATTCTCTCATTGACTCCTGAGGACATTGTACACATGTCCATCTTGCAAATGAGGACAAGAGAGATTAGTTTGCCCATAGTCACCAACTGCTGAGAGCAGGGAGTCAGCCGCGGGTCCCCACCTCCCACCCAGGCCCTAGCCAGTAATAGAGCCACAATAAAGGCCTCCAGTCCCGAGAGGCAGCTAGGTGGCTCCAAGGTTTCTGCCTAGGAGCTGGTTCTTGCCTTCAGGGCTCCTCAAAGACCAGAAATCCAGGGTTGTGCCAAGATCCCCTCAGGGCATCCCACCAGTACCCCTGGCTTCCTTGACCTTTGGGGGACACAGCTGGCTGTGCAGACCAAGCGCGTGGCCGCGCAGGTGGACGGCGGAGCGCAGGTGCAGCAAGTGCTCAACATCGAGTGTCTGCGGGACTTCCTGACGCCACCCCTGCTGTCGGTTCGCTTCCGGTGAGTTGCTTGGCACTGGCGCAGGGCTTCCAGGGTGAGGGTGCGGGGCCTGACGGAGCCCTTCCTCTCCTGCCAGGTATGGTGGCGCCCCGCAGTCCCTCACCCTAAAGCTCCCGGTGACCATCAACAAGTTCTTCCAGCCCACGGAGATGGCGGCCCAGGACTTCTTCCAGCGTTGGAAGCAGCTGAGCCTGTGAGCAGCGGGGGTGGGGCGGCTGGGCCGTAGCTGGGGGCTCATCAGGGTGCCAGGTCCCTGACTCTGCCTCCCTCGCCTCCCAGCCCGCTGCAGGAAGCGCAGAAAATCTTCAAAGCCAACCACCCCATGGACGCCGAAGTTACCAAGGCCAAGGTGAGGCTGGGGGCGCGCGTTTGAAGTGACTGCTTGACTTCCCTGAGCCTGTTCTGCCACCTGTACAGTGGGATCATTTCCCTTAGACAAGGATTTTGGAGACAGGGATGTTGTCGGGAGCTTGCAGAGCTCTTGCACTGACAGCCTCTCCCCCACACAGCTTCTGGGGTTTGGCTCAGCTCTCCTGGACAATGTGGACCCCAACCCCGAGAACTTCGTGGGAGCTGGAATCATCCAGACGAAAGCCCTGCAGGTGGGCTGTCTGCTGCGGCTGGAGCCCAATGCGCAGGCTCAGGTGCGTTTTGCTGAGGGAGGCCTGAGGCCAGGGCTGACTCCTAGGCTGACCTGTACCCTCAGTCTGGGTGCATCTTGCACCCCAGTCTCCTTGGCCTTGCTGTTTTAATCCCATCCCCCTCTTTGACACGGCCTGTGTCCCTGCTTCCTCCATCTTACTCCACACTCTGCTCTTCCTTACCCAATTTCTGCCTCTCCATGTCTTCCCCACCTTTCTTGTTCCGTTATCCTTCCCTCATTTCTCATCTTCCCTATGTCACCCTCTCTTGGGCTCTCTCCCCTCTTGCTTGGCTTCTGTTTCCTCTGAGTCCTTCCCCAATGTCCCCATCCAGATGTATCGGCTGACCCTGCGCACCAGCAAGGAGCCCGTCTCCCGCCACCTGTGTGAGCTGCTGGCCCAGCAGTTTTGAGCCCTAGACCCCGCCCGGGGGATGTGGCCATCACCAGGCAGCCCTAGAACTGAGGCAGCTGTGGTGGGTGGGGCAGTGAGGGGACCTCCACTGGCGACAGGGAAGACCCCAGGGGTAGGGGGATGCCTGGGACCTTCCTCCGGCCTTTTGTATTTTTATTTTTGTTCATCTGCTGCTGTTTACATTCTGGGGGGGCAAGGGGGAGCCCCTCCCTCCCTTCCCCCCCAAGCACAGAGGGGAGAGGGGCCAGGGAAGTGGGCGCCTCCTCCCCTCCCACCCTTCCCCACCGTCGCCCCTCCAACCTCTCCCCGTCCAGGGGCTGTGTATTATTGTGAGCGAATAAACAGAGAGACGCTAACAGCCCCGTGTCTTTGCTGGCTGTCTGTCCTGGGTGGTTCAAAGGAGCGGGCTGAGGGTGTGCAGTGTGTGGGTGGCCAGGCTTCGAAGCCCATGGGTGGGGCTCTGAGGAGCCAGCAGGAGCAGCAGCAGCCGCAGCCCCAGCTGCAGAGCTATCAGTCGCAACCCTGTGCCTGGCTCCTCGGGCCCCAACACAAGGTAGCAGGCTCGAGGCAGCTGGGCCCGGCTGACATCATCCTCCACCTTTTCCAGTGGCTCTGGGGAAGGACAGGGAGAGCTGAGGCAACCAGTGCGACTCAGCAAGGTTGCTAACATTGAAAGCCACTCCCCACCCTAGGCCCAGGTTTGGAGTCTGCGTGGACTCCCCGGCGCAGGCTTTGGGGCCTCCTTCCAGAGCAGGCCTTCCAGTTCAGCTGGCTGTCCTTAACCTGAAGAGGGCCAGTGGCTTCCTCCCTCCACTCACGCTCTTCCCGCCCAGCCTTGGTCCTTGTTTTCCCGGGAATCCTGTGTGTGGCACTAGGCAGTCCTCTTGGTAACACAAATAGCAACATGAAGGTGATACCACAAGCTAGACAGTAGGTTGTGACACCCAAGCTGGAGCTTCATGGAGCAGCTGATGGGGGAGATGGCGCTGTAGAGCTCAGAAGGGGTCTAGCCTCAGATGACCCTGCACAGATGTGCTAAGTTAACTGGGTCTTCACAGGGCTACGCTATCATCATCTGGTCCCTTCCTTCTCTGGAGCCTCATGGATTCTGTGACTACCTTTTCTTTCTAACCCGAGTCTGCAGACGCCTCACTCCCCACACTGGGCAAAGCTGTGCTTTTAGCTGTAGTGTGGAGTGTCCAGAGGCTGTGGATAGGGGAGCCTGACCACTAGGGTCTGAATCATGGCTTGGCCCCTTACCAGCCGAGCTTCAACCTCCTGCCTTCAATATGGGAACAATGACAGAACAGGGTGACCCTCACCTAGAGTGGGTCCTTACATTTAAAAATATGACTAGAGAAAAGGCCTTGTGGTAATTATTATCAACTAGTAGGATTAGCCAAGAAAGTCTGAAGCCAGGGAGGCTCCACACCCTCCCTTCTGCCTGTGTCAAGGCTCTGCTCAAGGGGAACCGTGGCCAGGGCGGGCTGAGTTTTCCTTGGTCTCTCCAGTGTCCCCTAGCATTGCCTCTCACCTGGTGGGAAATGTGTGCTCGTGACTAAGGCGTAGAAATGGCGGAGGAGGCGCCTGCGCTGTTCTGGAGAAGGTCCTGAAGGGTTGAAGAGCCGGTGATGGGGGGCCCCTCCCGGGCCCACCGCCCTCCCCATCAGCCCTCTTCCTCGGTCACCTTTATCCCCCAAAGGCTCCACGGTAAAGAGGCAACGTTTCAGTTCCAGGTGGAGGAGCAGCAGTCTGGGGGAAAGGAGATGTCAGGGCCAGAAGAGAGGGAATGAGGACCGCCACCCCACTCCCTGCCAAGCCCTACCCGAGGATGTCCTTGTGCAGGGGGAAGCCGTCGGGCAGCCCTCGGGGGCCCAGCGGCAGGCAGGCCCGCAGCGGGTCCAACACTGGCTGCCACCAGCGCTCCAGAAGCTGCAGGGGGCGTGGTCAGGTGGGGGCGACAGAGGAAGAAAGGAGCGCAGGACGACCCTGAGGGGCGAGGCAGGGACCAGGGAAAGGGGGCGTGGGAAAGCTAGGGCGAAAATGATTGGTGCGCACTGGGAAGAGGGCGGGCCCGGAGGGAAGAAGCCGCTGGAGGGGCGCAGGTAGAGGGTGTCACCAGGTGGGGAGCCAAGCCGCAAGGGCCTGATTCACCTGAGGATCCAACTGGCTGAGGGGCGGGCGCGGACCGCAGAGCAGACACAGCTCCAAACCCGGTAGCAACGTCAGGGTCAGGAGCCTATGCGGGACCTGAAGCAGGAGATAGGGTGAGGGCTCTAGGGGCCACCCAGGCGCACTTGCCCCAGGGCACAGATCCTGCTGTCCTGCCTACTCACCGTGGGACTCCCGTGGGGCAGGTACACCGGGTAGTCCCGAGCGGCCTGTGGTGGCAGGGATCCCACCAACCAGGGGAGCAGCACGGCCTCCGGTGTCCCCAGCCGCCACCATCCCTCTGTCGCTGACACCACCCGGCCTGACACTATCAGACTGACAAAGCCTGTTCCCATGGCTTCAGCGAACCCAGAGAGAGCTTCCTGGGAAGGGAGGCAGACCGGAAGTCAGGAGACAAGAGCAGGGGCAGCAGTGACCCCTGAAGTGCAAGGAGGGGAAGGAGACCCCCACACACTGTTCAGAGACTGCTGAGTGGCCAAGCTTATGTCTCACCCTCTCTGAGCCCGAGTTCCTTCACCTTTCTTGTGCAGTCACAATCCACAGCTCACACTGTGAGGCTTGGTTAAGCTGACCAGCCTGACCTGTGCATGCTGAGGCTGATGCTTTTAACAGCAGCAGCTAACATCTGATGATTCCTATTATGGGCCAAGTAGACACAATCGATGAACTACTGAAGCTCAGAGAGGTCAAGTCAACAGAGGAAAGTGGTGGCCACACGAGGTAAATGAACAAAAGCAGTATTTTGGGAAAGGTAGATGGAAATTCACCAAGTGAAGGAAGAGCATGTTCCAAGGTTAGGAAGCTGGAAAGTTGTTGGATTTTGTGGGGCTAGAGAGACAGGTGGGAAGGTAGTTTGTGGATTTTGCAACAGCTTGGCAAAATTCTACAAGCCCTAAAAACCAGGCTGAAGGGCTGGCAGCTTGTCCTGAGGGAAGTGGAAGCCATGGAGGAGCTGTGGGCAGGGAAGGGGCAGAGCTGATTCTCAGTGCATAAAGATTCTTCTGGAGCCAAGCAGGGGCTGGACTGGGGGTCAGAAATATAGGAGTTTGGACAATGGTCCAGGGAAAGAGGATGAAACTGAACCAGAGCCACAGGGACAGATTTAGGAGTTTCCATGCCTTGCCAATACCTGCAGGAGAGGCCCCTCTGGAGGAATCACGCAGTCTACACACTGGGTCAGGTCTCCGATGAGTTCTGGGTCCCCCAAGAAGCTGTCAATGAGGTGATAACTGGCCTGGCAGAGGGAGAAGGGAGAAACTGGACCCAAGTGGGTCCCAGATCTGCTACTTCCTCCAGAGAAAAACTGGCAATGTGGGGCCTAGCTCCAAGGTCAGATAACCAAGTTGCCCCCAAAACGATGGGGTCTTGCTGCTCCAGAGGCTGCTGGAGTGTAGTCCCCAAATGGCAGGAAGGACATAGGCAACTTAGCTTCCCATCCTGTCCTATAGCCTCACCCTCAACTCCTTCTTCAGCCTCTCTACATTGCGGATGTTGGTCAGTTCTTCAAGTCCCACAAAAAGAACCTAGAAGAACCACACAGGAGAGCAGGAAATCCTTGACAACAGTCCTACTAGAGGAGACAGTACCTGAACTCCCCAGTCTGAGGGACAACTGGTACTGAAGACCAGAATTCCTGGGTTCTGGGGAAGGAGGAAGTTGGGAGCTTGGACTTCGAGGTCTGAGGGAGAAGGATGCTAAGAGCTCAAAGCTCTGGGTTTAGAAGAGAACTGGGGATTCTCACCATGGCCCCGAATACCATCTGGAGTAGTCTCTCAAGCTTCAGCTCCGAGGTGCCTTCCTCAGATGACAGAACAATGAGGGTGATGCTGTGGGAACCGAAGATGAGAAGGGAAAATGAGTCCAGGCCTGGGAAACAGGACAACAGGTATAGTAGAGTCTGATCCTTGATCCTAGAATATTAGTTACATCCTCCCTCAGCCAGTCAGGTATCCAAGAGTAACTAGATTGTCAAAGATCCCACAGCCAGAGGAACAGCCGCAAGGCCTCGGGGGTCTTCTTCAACATGGGCTGTCATCACATCACCCAGGCCCGTACCCACCCCAAGCTCCCTCCTAAGACCTGTCATGGAAGCTTTTCCACACCACGGTTGTGTCCTTGGTCCTTGCAGAGCTCAGCTGTACCTCCAAATTCTGCCCGAACATATGGACTCCATTGAGGGAGCCAATGACAGAGAACGGGAGCTGGGGAGGAGTTGGAGGCATTAGACAAGAGCACCCCACGCCTCCTCCTAGATACCCAAGTGTCTGTGCTCCCGAGCCCCTCCCTTTCCATATCTCCCGGTAGCCCCTCCCCCAGGAGCCAGGCTTATTGTCCCCCTTGGATTTCTGAACTCAGACCGGAAGTTTCCCCAAACCCTTCTCCCTTGAAGATTTGGAGTCTAAAGCACCCTCACCCCCTTCTATTAAAATCCAAGTCAAGGTCCCACCTGCTGACGGGAGGGGGCGCCGCCGCGGCTGCTCCTGCAGAACAGGGGGACCCCGCTGGAGGCCGCGAGGCACAGCAGATGCACGGAGCCGCCGGTCCCCTCCTCTCCCATTTGGACCCACCCCCCGCCGCGGCGTGGCGCGCGATTATCCGCTGGGGCCCCCAGTGCCGGTCTGGGAGCTTGGTGGTAATCACACTAAGTCGGCCTGCCGTCCGGAGCCGCCAGAGGGCGAGATGGGAAGCTAATCGGTAGACGACTGAACTCCCGCCTTCCATCCAACTCAGCTCCTCTTCCGCCCCAGCCGGAAGTCACATTACCCCCAACAAAGATGACGGCTAATTGTATGGCAAAGTTTTGTACTTTCTTCCTGACGCGGTTGTTCACTTATGTAACGAGAAGAATAAAGTGGATTTCGTGAAGATGGCGATAGTGCCAAAGTGTTTCCTAGCAACTATCCTACGGGCTCTAATAACTTATATTCTAATTAAAACAAAACTTGCCCCGATCAAAGATGGCGACGGTGGTAAGGTGTTGCCTAGCAACCACATTCCCTCTGGATTTCCATTTCGTGGTGATAAACATTGTGCCCCACTTAAAGATGGCGACCGTGCAAGCTGTTGCCTAGTAACCACCATTCACTCTATTTTCCATTGTGAAAGGAAAAACAGCCGAGCCCGGCTCAAAGATGGCTGCTTGTCCAAGTCCCAGCACCCTCCTTCGGGCAATATCGAGAAAAAACCCCCACACACTTTTGAAAGTGGTTTGGTCCGGGAAGCGTTGCCTAGTAACCACCGAAGGAGATAGTTGTTTTTGTTAATAGAAAAAGGGAATTCTTTATTCTCCCGAATCATCAAAATTATATTACTTTCATAACAAATTTATACATGGCAGTGTACAATGTAAAATGAGAAAATACTACTCAAATTCTTTCTCTAAAATGAACAACAAAAAATGTACAGAATGCATACATGTTTCCACAAATGTGATCATTATACCAACATTTTCATGTCTTTTCTCTTCAAAAAGTATGTGTGCTTCATGTTTTTTTCTTAAAATCAATTTTATGGATGTAAAAAATTGATTTGAACAATCCTCTATTGACACATATTAGATTCTTTCCTGTGTGTGTTCAAAGTGATATATTAAATCTCCATTGATTTAGCAGTTTATTCTTCTCTCTCTCTCTCTTTTTTTTTTTGTGGTGTTGGGGATTAGAACCTAGGGCCTTCTGCATGCGAAGCAAGCACTCTAACAACTGAGTTATATCCCCAGCACCAGTTTGTTTCTTTCTTTGTGGTAATAGTTACCTTTATTTATGCAAGCATATTGAAAACATACAATAAATTTTAAATAATTTGTTTCTTTTCTTTTTATGGTATTGGCAATTGAACTCAGGGATAATCAACACTGAGCTACATCCCCAGCTCTTTTTATTTTTTATTTTGAGATAGGGTCTCACTAAATTGCTGAGGGTCTTGCAAAATTGCTGACACTGGCCTTGAACTGGTGATCCTCCTGCCTCCATCTCCGGAGTGACTGGGATTACAGGAAAGCACCAATAGGCAACATTTGTTTCTTTACAAATGTTTTGTTTTCATTCTGGATTTGATTTTTAATAAGGAATAAAAAGTTAAGATCTTTTTTTTTTTTTTTAATATTTATTTATTTATTTTAGTTTTTTTCGGCAGACACAACATCTTTGTTTGTACGTGGTGCTGAGGATCGAACCTGGGCCGCACGCATACCAGGCGGACATGCTACCGCTTGAGCCACATCCCCAGCCCAAAAGTTAAGATCTTTATCCTGCACATTAAATTGCAACAAACTGCTACAAGAAATAGTTTGCTAAATAAAATGTTTCCTTCCAGGCTGGGGCTGTGGCTCAGGGGTAGAGTGCTTGCCTAGCACATGGGAATGCGTGGGTTCAATCCTCAGCACCACATAAAAATAAAAAAATAAATAAATAAAGGTATTGTGTCCAACTACCAACTACAGCTATAAATAAATAAATAAAATATTTCTTTCCATAGGCCCAATTTTATTTCCTTTTTATTTTTTTAAAATATTTAAAAATTACTTTTATTTTATTTATTTATTTTTATGTGGCACTAAGGATAGAGCCCAGTGGGACTGAGTTATAGTCCCAGCCATTATTTTTAATTTTGAGGCAGGGTCTCACAAAGTTGCCAAGGCTGGCCTCAAACTTGCAATCCTCCTGCTTCAGCCTTCTGAGTTGCTGGAATTACAAGTGTGCACCACCATGCCTTGCCTGTTTTTAAAATTTTAAAGCTATTTTCACTTCCTAATTTTACATTTTTAGTAATACAGATGTGTGTGTGTATGTGTGTTTGTATGTGTGTATTATTTTTTCTATACTGGACATTGAACCTAGGGCCACATATGTGCAAGGCAAGCACCCTACCATTGAGCTGCATCCCCAGCCCAATATGTATTTTTTTGTTTTGTTTGTTTCATTTGGTAAGGGGGGATTGAACTCAGGCACACTCAACCACTGAACCACATCTCCAGCCTTATTTTGTATTTTATTTAGAGACAGGGTCTCACTGAGTTGCTTAGTGCCTTACTAAATTGCAGAAGCTGGCTTTGAACTTGTGATCCTCATGCCTCAGTTTCCTGAGCCTCTGGGATTACAGGCCTGCACCACCTAGCCTGGCTTTTGTTTTGTTTTGAGATGGAATTTCACACTTGAGATGTTCATGCCTCAGCCTCTGGAATAATTGGGACTATATGGGTGGGTCCCTGCATCTGACTTCTTGATATTTTCTTGCTGTTGGCTGAGTTTTGCGATTGTGTCTTCAGTAAGCTGCTTCTAAAATGGATCGCAGTGATGTCCACCCTCTGGTATTCACTCCCTCTCCTCTTTTCTTGTTTGTGAACAGATTTTTAATAAATGTAATCTACTTTTCATAAATGGGATATGGTAAAAGTGATGGGAGGTCACTTCTGAGAGTGGTTATAAAGTCACCTTCTGTCTGGCTTGAATGCACTCTCCTTTGCTGTTATGCAGCAAGCTGCTGGGTTGTGACCAGCTTAGTCAAGACTCAGAATCAAGGTTGGCCTCTGGCCAATAGCCTGTGAACTGAATCCTGCCAACAACTGTGTGAGTGAATGTGGTTTGTTCTGTTTGATCATAGGGATGATTGCAACCCTGGCCACCATTTCAGCTACAGCCTGGAAGAACCCCTGAAGCACAGGACCCAGATAAGCCATGGCTGGACATCTGGTCTACAGAAACCTTGAAACAATGTTATTGTATTGCACATTGAGCTTGGGAGTAATCTGCTACATGGCACAAGATAATTAAGACAATTTCCCCTGCCACTTTTGCACAATGTGAACCTAAGATTTCCAGCACTTTGGAATCTTTTTTTGCAGCCCTTAGCATTATAAGCTCTTAGCTCACCCAGAGCCTGGAGGCTGAGGCAGGAGGATCACAAATTCAAGGCCAGCTTCAGCAATTTAGTGAGGGCTGGGAAAGTGGCTCAGTGGCAAAGTTCCCCTGGGTTTACTTCCCAGAAAAGCAGGTTGTGTTAAGGGAGAAAACTTGGTGTGTGTGTGGGGAAAGGGGGGGGCGGGTCAGGTCCATTCCTATTGTATTACTTGAGGGGGGGGGCATGTCTAGCTCCATTGACTTTGGTTTCTGTGGTCTCTTATTAATAGTCCTCATTTTAATTTTAATTTTATCTTATTTTTGGCTAATTTGGATACTAATTCAAGTAAAACAATTATAAAAAGACTAATAGATGTGGAAAATGAAAAATCCCCCAAGATAATGTGGCCTGAGAAAAGAAAGTGAAAAAGAACACTGTGAACAAATGTTTTCCTGGTGCTAGTTGCAGGCAGGAAGGAGGTGTCTCATCACACCTAAAGTGATAGCCTCTGAGGGGCATTGACCTTCCTCAGAGTCAATCCTCTCCAGATGCTGAACACAAACCCCTGACCCAAGAGCTCAAATTCCTAAACGCTCAAACTGACCCCTTCATGATTGGTAGGACAAACCCCAAACTCCTGGGTGACCAAGAAAACTGAAATGACCATCTCTCAGGATAACCTACTTAAGCCCAGTCCCTTCCTTTGTTCAGTGGCTCATTTTCCACCAGGAAAGTGGGTCCATTCCCATAGATGTAGTCCCCTTCCTGAATAAAAGCTGAAATGATCTATGAAGTTTGCATTCAGCGGGTCTCTTTTTTCTAACAAAGATATTTTGAGATAATTGGGAACAAATGATTATGGACTTAGCCTTAGATGATACTAAGAAATAATTTTGTTACAGTGCTGCGGGCAACAGACTGGTTGAGAAGCAGCACTTGGAGAGAAGAACTCCAAACTTTATTTTATGTTGGTGGGCCCAGAGGAAAACAAACTAAATCCGCACCACGTTTCAAACAGTACTTAACCGCTATTTGGTGCTCTATAATTTCTAGTCTGCATGACAGAAGGCCTTCCCTGGGGGTTTCTATTGGGAAGCCTATTTACAAAACAAAAAGCAGTAAGAGAAACTCACTTTTTTTCACAGGCACCTGATAAATCTCTCAGGAGCCACATGACAGGGCTGTTTACATTTCAAAAAGGAGTAGGAAGACTCCTAGAGATAGTTATTTACAATCCAAAAGGTGGGGACCCAAAGTTAATTAGGTTTCTCAAGGTAAAGTTCTTGTAATTTAATTTAATTTTTTAAAAGACTGTTTAAAGAGAGAGAAAGAGAATTTTTTAGTTTTCTGTGGATACAACATCTTTGTTTGTATGCTGAGGATCGAACCCTGACCGCATGCATGCCAGGCGAGCGCGCTACTGCTTGAGCCACATCCCTAGCCCCTTGTAATTTAATTTTACAACTGGTCTGGTTTTGCCATCTTAATGGGTGATAGTGGCACAGTGGTTACATAAGAAAGTGTCCTTGAATTCTGAAAGACGCCTGACAACCATGTGGAGGTAAAATTACATGATTTTAGGAATTTTCTTTAAAAGTTTTCTGCAAAGAAAACGAAAGACAAAAGGGATTATGGATAAAATAAATGGGAGAAGTGGTGATACGGCTTTGATATCAAAATACTTTGATGCTGAATAAGGACATTGATGGTGGGCTGGGGTTGTGGCTCAGTGGAAGAGCGCTTGCCTAGCATGTGCGGGGCCCTGAGTTCAATCCTCAGGACCACATAAAAATAAATAAATAAAAATAAAGGTATTGTGTCCAACTACAACTAAAAATTAAAAAAAAAAAAAAGAATATCAATGGTCAGTCTTATTCAAACACAGGTC